TCTCATATTTTAATTAACTAAGATATTTTTGTACGGAAAAAACTCCAAACACTTTAAACTAAGACATGAATATGATCTAGGAACATTTTTTATTTGAAAAAAAAATCATATTTATGTTTAATATCACTAGAGGCTAAAAAGTCATATTTAATATTGTAAGGAAAAAGGAATTAAGATCAGAATCTTGTTGCTACTCATTCATCAGATGACAGCCCATTTAAGAAATGGGCCGGGTACATAATGACTAAAATACTATTCAAAGATATAGCTGATGGTCCAAAATAGGATTAATAGCTATGATTAAAACAAACCCAGTCCCAGCCTTGACTTTTTCAAAAGACATTTTAAGACATATTTCTATGGAATAGTTTTTAAATAACTTGCCGCTAAAGTTTTAGCAACCAATAACGAAAGATGTTCTTAAATTCACAGCTTTTTTTTAAAGACGTAATTGTATGAATATAATTTTAGATTTATCTTATAATTTTAATGTTATAATTTCTAAGAGAAATTTTAATTGTATTGAGCGCTTTATGGATATATGTATTGAATACTATTAAACTATTTAAATGATTTATGTAATAATAAAGTTGTAGCATGTAAAATACAGAATACATGAATAATGTATCTCCAAAAAAATCTTGTCTTAGTCACTTAGCAGTCCTCTGTTGTAGGAGATGCAATACAATTCTGATTTTATTCCTAAAAATTTTTATTCTGCATATCAAGATAAATAGAAACAGTATGAACTATAATCAAAATTATTGCATTATTTTAAAAATAAAAAAAAAATTGCAGCATATAAAAATTAAATTATAATGTGGTTAATGAACTTCTTACCAGAAGGTAATATAAAATTTTACATGAATGGTTTAAATTACATTCTGACAGTAGAGCGTGATAAGACATAATTGATATACCTGCCTTTGTCAATTCGTGTTAATTAAGTATACCCTGAATTAAAGTCACAAAGATAAAATTTAATTTCAAAGAGTCACTACATGTATACGTTAGGATTATTATTTGATAACATACTGTGTCTCTAATATTTATGATTTTTACTGTAACATGACAATATTTTTTGTTAGCAAACATTTTTCTGAGTTTGATCTTAAAGATTATACATCCCACGAGCCAATGCTTTTCTAATCCATTTAGTTTTTTTTTTTTTTTTTTTAACAAAATGAGACCGTTTATTTGTTTAAAATTGCGAATACGCGGACACTGTACTTTTCTTGTATGATTAACCATGTCTTTATGTTTTGTGGGTTTAATTGAACTTGTAAAAAAAAATCAAAGATGTTACAGTAACAAAAACAAATTAGTAAGGAAAAAACAATATATACAAGATCTACCATGTAGATTGATTGAATATGCTTTTTAACACAAAGAAATGTGTGTTTCAAAAAACAAAACTTGCATAAAAACTCACTTGTAACCACAAACCATGAGAGATTCTTTTTATCTCATGTTTTGAACAAAACTACTTCGTGTTTTACACTCCTGAATATGTAAATCTGACAGGGCTCTCAATTGTCTGTAACCTGAGACGCTTAAAGGCTTCATTCCCCAATTCAAAAAGGTACCCTATTTCCCAAATGAAAAATGATAATTAAGACTAAACTTGTATTTCATATTCCACTGCATTGTGAAACGGAATTTTAGCTGAAAACAAACAGCAGAAACCCAATGCATACGGATTTTAAAGTACAATGGGCATCCCATATTTCCTAAAAGGTCGCCAATTTCCCCAATACTATGGTCCCGTCCACAGTAAAAATAAGTGCCATGAGAGTCATGAATTGGTCACTATACAGGTTATTTCGTACCTTGATCACGTCTTTTATAAGTTGTTTGTTTCCATCCTAGTTTGCAGATACGAAGAACAGGAACCTAAAACGTGGTCACATGGTGCATTTTCAGCACAAGATCCACAGGAAAAAAATCAATTTGTACAATAGAAAACTTTCTTGCATGCTGAAAATATAACATTTTTTTTACGGTACAAAATCTTGGAGTAATATCTCAAGGATCGACACCTGAATGAAAAAAATCCATCTTTACATACGAGATTATTAGATTATCTTGACAATCAAACCTACGACTTCATAATTCTTTTTGTTTCATGATTAAAATGATAATTCTAAGGGAATTTTTTTTTCAAAATAATTGTTGATTAAGTGAATATGCAAATTGAATAAAGATTACCTATTCTTATTTAATGTTCTAAATCTACGAATTGTTGGCAAAAGTTCGCTGTGGTGGCTCATGACAGTCGGTAAAGCATTTGTTTCCTGTACGAAAGGCTGTGATCCAGAAAAAAAAAATAATTTCTTGCCGAGAACATTGAAAAACTATTAAATGCCAAGGAACTACTTAATACATTTCTGAGCTTCAATCGACCATTAGTGAGAAAATACACTCAAGGATACATGTACAAAATCCAGATAAGAATTATTAAAACTATAAATCCAGATAACAATTATTAAAACTATGAAACAGCGGCAAAACAGCGTTTGTGCGCTAAAGCACCTATTTTTGCATGAATTTTGTCCTTTAGGACACGTCTGCCCCTAAATAAAATTATGATATTTTTATAGGTTGTGATGTAAACATAATTTAAGATAAGATTTGGGAGGGGGGGGGGGGATTCCTGCCCTAGGATCAAAATTCACAAAATAAACTAAAAAAAAAAAAAAAAAAGGGAAACCTGTATTTGACAACCTGGTACACATTTATATTAGTATTTCCACAGCCAGAATAGCTTGATTAGTACAAAAGTTAAGTATTAACAACGCGGATACTCTTTTTGGTTAGTTATCATTTTTGCTTATTCATTCTTGATATAAAAACACTAAAGAGAAAGCAGATCTTAAATTCCATTGTAACTTAAACACAGTAAAGCGGAACTATACCTAAGTTTAGCAAACTTTCTTCGAAAACAAGAATTATTCACTTTGGTTTATCGATACAAGTATTCCCGCCTGCAATGAGCTGCGATCGATTTCTATTGTATAGAAGAATTAGAATTTTATCAATTCAGTGTTTTTTATTGCTTTTATTCCATGTATACTACTAGTACCTGTGTAGGTTATTTCGCTGGAAAGTATACGTACTGCTATATAACATGTATCTGATCTTAATTTAATATATATTTAGACACACATACATGTACTGATTCAATGTTCTAAATTCAGTGTAAAATTTTAGCTAAAATAAGCCCTATTTTCCCTATATTTTCACAATATATTAGCTATATTTGTCTCAATGTCATGATAGAATCCATAATAGTTAATTTAATAAAAAAAAAATCAGGACCAGCATAAAATACTTCACTGCACAAAATGACTCTGTTTGCAGCCTGAAAGGAATCCGAACTCAACAGTACTTAACAGTACTTCAACTACTTCGAAAGAGAAAAATTGATCATTTTCTTCTAAAAAAAATCCTACCCGAAATATAGTTCCTCGCATAATGATTTTTATAGAATTTAATCATGAGTATTTCTTTTATTGACTACAGTTTAATAGCTTAGCCCGTATTGTAGAATCCTAATTCAATGTCAGAACTACGCGTAAAATATAATTCAGAATTTTAGAAATAAAGATCCAGACAAAAATCTGCTCAAAACTCAGGATCGAACCTCTTAAAAAGAAAATGTTAACTTTGCAAGTTCCCCTTCGCACATTCCTTCTTTGCAGTATCTACAATCAAGTTTGCAGATTCATTTAGTAGGATGAAGTGTTTATTGAAATTCAGACCAAATCTATAGAACTGTTATGAAGTCATTTTTGAATTTTTATTCTCATTCTAAGGTATATTTTTTCTATAAAAAGTATAATGAAATAGATAAATCAATAAAATAAAAGTAAACAAAAAAATTTGGAGGAAAATGAAGTGTAATCAAGAATAATTTATATCTTCCTACTAAAGTGCATGCATAATCTAGTCTTAAAAATAATAAATTAGAATATAACACTTAAAGCATGCAATATTCAAGCATATCTTTTCCTTATCAGATTTCCTCTACGCACCAAATCGCCTTTAATATTCCAAATTACAAATTAAATGTAATAAATTACAGTTACATGTATGTCCTTTACAAATTGATTTACAGAGAAAAAAATAAATAGTATTATATTTTATAACACACAAACTGCTGAACTCAATATCCTACGACATAAATTGTTAAATAAAAAAAAGTATAGTCTTCAAAATCAGAGGACCCTTTTTAAATTTAACTTGTAACATCAAATAGAGTTTATTACATTTTCATGTTAACAAGTAATAACCAATTTAAATTTCCATTATAGTTTGGATTTTAAAATTAGAAATATACAAATGGCAATCAACATTAAAAATAATGTGTGTATGTATTTTTTTTTTATAATCAATCTCATGAAGACTTGAATGCTTAAATATAACGGTGCCGCTTTAACCATGAAACAGATCGAAATGCCAATTTAAAAATTTAGAAAATTGATCAGGTAATAACATGAATTGCAAAATCCTCTTTACATTTGCTTACACCTGAAAGCAATAGAAGTACCAACTATTCGTACCAAAATGGGGCATGCCAATCAATTCAACTTTTTCTCTGATAGTGTAAAAGAACTTAGAAAATAAACATTCAAGGGCTCTGTACCCATCTTGTAAAACTCGGACGTAAAGTAATAATTAGATAACGAATTTTATAACAATCAACAGTCAACATAATTAATAAATATAATGCTTGATCTTATTTCGTTATCTCTTCGAACAGTCAGTCAATATATATCTTTATTACTAAAAAGTTTATATCATGGCCTGCTAGTTTTTAAATAATACATTTTATACACAATACAAGTAATGTCTGCATAAATATGAATAATATTTCTTACATACAGTCGAATTACATACATCGAATTAACTAATGTATTGAATTTCAGAACAGTTTAAAAATTGTATATTCTTACATGTGTACGTATTAATAAATTATAATAATACTCAATATACCAATATATTATTAATACACCATACAGTAACTGCCCCATCTTTTATACTCAAAACGAGTTCTTAAGAATTTGTATTGGCGTAAATATTTTCATCCGTTTTCGTGACCCCCTGTTGTCCTTGAGCATTCTCATAAATGTCATCCTTATGCGCGGTGAAGAAATTTGCCACAACTCGACAGCAGCACTGGTATTCGGACTAAAGCCAAAAAGAAAATAAAATAAGAGTCTTTATTAATTAAATTTCAAATATATTATGCTGGTTCAATTGAAATACCCCCCCCCCCCTCCCCCAGCATCGTTAAGAATATTACATTTTCATATCAAATGATTTAAGAATAAGCGAAATAAGCCCCTTAAAAACAACAAGAAACGTTTCATTTTCATTATGTTGGATTAACATCTAATTAAAAAATAAAATCAAAACTTATCCAAATCATAACGACTATCACAAATTGCAGCATTTTAAGCCATCACAATGCGTGATACATCCTTTTTCTATATCCTCTCTCTCTCTCTCTCTCTCTCTCTCTCTCTCTCCCCTTAAACACGAAATTCTAGATCCATCTTGTTCACATCCTACATTCACACAGTGCCTCAAAGTGTCTGTATATAAATAAAAGGAAGGACCCAATTACTTAAGATAAACCTTTTTTTAAATGAACGTAATGTGTTGTAAAGAAAATGTTAAATACGGCTTGAAAAAAATGTGTTTGCTATGACATTTCAAGGACATACCATGCTAGAAACCATTTCTGGTCTACGCATTTGTAACTGCCGGACTATGGTAAACATGTCCACTTCATTGTCCTGTTGTAGTTGCTGTATGGCATTATACACGGCGCAGAAGATTCCACATCCGGTCGCACCATCTCTGTCAAAATCAAATATTTGAAATATTTACAAAAGAAACAAGTTCACATTAATCCTGATATACTGTTCAATACAAACTACCACTTGCAGAATGATGTACTCATGTATGAATGGCTAGAAACTATGATTTACATTTAAAGACTGTTTTAATGCAGTGTTAATATGCTCACTTATATGAAGGACACTGCTCATTATTACAGTGTCAAAGTGATGACTTACATCTTCTTGATGTATTACAGTTTCACATTTATTTAGTGTGTCTTTTCCTAAATGAACACTTTTATGACAGCGAAATTAGCACATTAAAAAATCTTGTGGAGTATTCAAACCTGAAATCAGATACTGGTGGTGTTTTTGAATAAGTTTCATATAATGCAAAAGGTCATACCTTCATGTAATGCGATTAATCTGAAACGCTTATATACATAAAGCACTGCTAACAGCACTTTATTCTATTTTATGCTTTTAGTCATATTAAGAAAAAATGAGAGAGTATTTCAAAGGATCAGCATTTTACACCTCTTATACACTCTTGGTACTGTGAACCAACTTTTATTCCCGACGACTTTATTTCGCGATTTACCGGCGGTAAACTAGTTCGCGACGATAAATTTTCGCGATAAGCCTTTTTTGGATCTGTTGTTAATAGAAAGAGAGACTTTAAGGACCGGTTCGCGGCGAGAAATATTCGCGATGACGAGGCTTTCGCGAACCTCGCGAAAATTTCTCGCACGCAAATAAAAGTTGGTTTACAGTAAATAATGGCAAAGATACCTTGACAAAACTGTTATTTTGGTTTCCGGATCTTTGATGATCTCCTGAACTTTGTTCATCAATTCTACAAAAACATCCTCTTCCGCCGGAAGTTTTTCATTTATCTTCCAATTTAGTATTTCCAACACTTTGACAGTGTGCCATTCTGAATCCTTAATAAGCAATGTGGAAAGATTTGCATTTAAAGACATTGTCAGGACATGTATAAGATCGCATGATTAAACACATCTTTCGATGTCACTTGAAATGAAAATATTTCTTTTTTCTCAAAGATATAATTAAGTTGATTCACATTAATCAATAAAATATCAATACTTCAAAGTACCTTGTCATGCTTCATTTTGAGAAAAGTCATTTTGAGCTTATTTGACAAACTTCGACCTGTATTTAGCATCGTCTTATACGGCGTGATGACGCTTTTCTCAGCTGAAGTCGTGAGCCACTCTGCAGACTTTGAACAGAAAAAAAATGTTGAAATGTGTTTATTGATATTGTTATAAGTATAAGTGAATAATCATGTATAAACCAGATTATATGCCTCATAAATATACAAATTCATTATTCTGCTTATCCTCGTACAACACTCTCGCAACTGAAATATGGATTACAACATCGGTATATTTCACTAGATTGACAATACATTCTAATTAGTTTCCCCCCTCCACCAATGCATATTCTGTCCTAACTGTCATTTAAATTCATTCTTATTTACATTTTGTGACATCTTTGGAAACAGCTGATGAAAGTAAATATTTTTGCTTATGTGTGTGCATGTATCTGTGTGTATGAAAAGGGGGGGGGGGGTAATTTTTGTTGAGTGATGGAATGACACCAGAACCTGGTTCTAAAAGAAGAAGCAAGAACTATGTACCTATAAAATTAAATGTATTCTCCCTTATCATTGCATACAGCGATTCTCAAAAATCTTATCAAAATAAGTGTAAATTTTTTTTTTTTTTTTTTTTTTTTTTTTTTTTTTTTTTTTTTTTTTTTTTATAAACATATTCCTCTAAAGAGAGATACGTAGTAAAACTAAAAGACAAAGAAGTCGAAACAAATGAAGAGATGAAAACATGATTTCCTTTCAAAATACTTTACATCTTATAGAAACAAACACATCTACGCAGAGCATTATTATTACCCAACAATCCCTTTTTGCTCGAAAATGATAATAGATGACCATGAAATCTTTATGATATTATTTTTAGTTTTTACTTATTAATTTCGTAAATTACTTAAGCTAATAGATGTTTATTCTTCTTCAAAATAAAAAGAAAAGATATCAATTAAAAGATACTTACAGTAGCTACGTCTGAGAGCTGGTTGATAGAAATCAGGATAGTGCATTCCTGATCAATGAGCAAGCGCACTAAGTCGACTGCAGCGCCCTCTACTGGATACTGTGCAGCGATAAGCCCATCCCTTAGTGTGTAGGACTGTGAAAAACAGAACAGGCGCACGTTTATTTACTTATTTATTTTGGAAATCTTTTACAATGCATTTATACAATACATACCTAAATAAAAATACAGAGTAAGATTTTAAAAATATATTCAATATATTCAATATACCAACCGAAATTGGCACTGCGTTGTAGTAGTTGCCCCGTCCACGAGCATATGACGTCAGCAACACTCTAATACTGTCAGCTATTTTAAAGATTGTCACAAAAATTAATGAATGTATAAAAGACAAACTTTCTTATTCGCAAAATCTATTGAATCAAATGAAATCAGGAAAATGGGATGGGATGGGGTGGTTTTACTTTCTAAACAAAATATTTTGTGGTAACAATAATCATTGGCCCATTGAATCTGTGTTTAATTTTTCTCAGGTCTTTTAGACTAATGCACTTCAGAAAAAAATCCTTGTAAGACAAGCGAACATTAACCATCACATCCCCCTTTACAGTCTAAATACACTTCAAATACGCATCTAATTCTTCAAATTTGATTTTGCCAAGTAGATTTGTTTTACAAATATAAACACACGTAAACACATGCACTGGATCATACTTCGACCATTAATATTACCTGGAAGAACAGTTTTTGTCATATTGAGATCAATGTTTTGTCTTGCATCTTTCGTGTCCTTCTCATCCAGCACAGGTCTGATTGAAAGCAGCTCCTGATCATCAGAAAGAGAAAGAAATTAAAGATGAGACAATTTTATAGAACCTAGAGACATTATTGAAGGGTTGTATATATAAATAGAAGAAAAAGTCATTGCATGCAAATTAGGAAATCATTGATAAATTAGTATTTATTAATGATATGGTATCTACTGTGTTCAGACAATATACCAAATGTTTTGAGGATCTTAACCTAACTCGTATCGGATTTGCTAGACAATATAAAAGCAACCTCATTCAAGCTTTGGTATGTTGTTGAAAAGAAGTCCTCGAAAGGAGAAGAGTGTTTAAAGTTAAGGAATTCTTCATCATATATATTTTTAACTGATTGTCATAAAATTTTTAGAGCTATCTATCCCTACTGGTTTTAATGGGAATAAATGTATCAAACTATTGATTGAAATATGAATCTTGGGTTCAAGAGTTAAAGTTTTCTATTGCTGATTAGATTAAGTTTGTTTAATTATTTAACTTGAAATTGAAATAATAAATTGTATCAAGTGTGGTACATGTACATCAAGTACAACGTATGGTCGATCCCTCAAACAATATTCCCCAAGTATCATGGTAACGAGTTGTAATTTCATTACATTTTGCCTGCCAGATATATGTTTCTTAAAAATATTATCACTAAACACTGCACAAAGCAGGAAAAAGAAAACAGAAAAAACGAATGGTTTTAACCAAACTGTGCTATGACTTGAATGTAAGGAAATAATTCCTACTCACATTGAATTCCTTCTTGAACTGAGAAGCGTTGGCAGCTTTATCTGACATTAACTGTGACGTCACTTCCTGAATGAACTGCTCCTTCTTCAGCAGCCTTCCATTGGTCTTGAAAATCTCATACAGAGCTTTGTACAAAAAGACGTACTGACCCTAAAATTGACAGTTAAAAGTTTTTTTTTTTTTTGTCTTTTTTTTTTTGTTTTTGCTCATTATCCCTAGGGAAACTTGTAAACACTGCACATACATTATGCATGTAAACTATTCAATTCTAATATATCGCAAGTCCTTCTTTATCAAGTTACCATTGATTTTTTTTAAAGCAGGCTGCAAAGTTAAGCGATTTTATCCTAAAAGTAGACAATTGTTATGACTGAAGTTCTACGTAATTAATTTTTTTTTAGTTATACATGTATTAGGAATAACTTTAAATATTTTCTAGGACAAGACTGGACACCTAATTATTCGAGACAATTATTTTAAGCATGGTCAAAACTATAGCAAGTTTTGCCAAAATTAAATGAGATGGTTTCTAAAAAGCAACGTTTTCCGCTAGTTTCTTACAAGATTTCATTATCATATTAATGTATATTTTCAGTATTTTAGACATTGAGTAACTAAAAAAGGCATTTAGGAATAAGAATTAATTTTACAATGAAAAAGTCATAATTAAGCATATTCATGAAGAGTAGACCGAGAAATTCATACCGCATTTTGTATCATGTTCATACGGTCTTCTCGCATTATCTTAACGTATTCCACCACGTCTATATTTCCCTCTTTCAGTCCGTGCTTGTACAGGGCGTCTAATGCGATAAAAGTGCCTGTCCGACCAATACCTGCACTGAAAAAGCCAGTGGAAAAAAGTTTTACATTAAAAATTATTTGAAGATAACGTTAGCTGCAGAGGATTCTACAGACCAAGACAAGTGGACATTAAAGTTCACACAAATGAATAATTCTAAAACTAATGATTATGCTAATTGGGTAAATGCAACTATAAGAACATGTGATAATTTAAACCTTATTGAAATTACTGTACATGACATTTTTATTTTAACTTCCATTATCAATCGTGTTTTTGTGTCTTCATTTTATAAAATGCTGTAATCTGAACATATTTAAGGCGATTTCTTATACTGCAACAGGAAACTAAACTGTAGCGTAAGCATGTTCATCGGTTTTCTGCATAGAAGTAAGGATTAGAAGACATAAAGGTAAACATGGCCATGTAAACAATCTGCACACTTAACCTGTTGTCTGTAATCGTGACAGCATCCTTTTGTTTTTTTTCCTAGGCTATCTGCCAAGCGTTATTGAGAATTTCACAAATATACAAATATCATTATTGTATACATCTTACCTGCAGTGCACAACTAGGAGACTGTCGGGATACATCTGCATTAAGCGCATAACATGACGATAAAAGACGAGGAGTTCTATCGGTGAAGGTGTTCCGTGGTCGGGCCATGCCGTGAATTGAAACTGATTTACAGTCTTCACAACCTTTGTCTGAAGAAGAAAATGAAAACATCTTTAATTTAAGTAAATGGTTTCGTTTTATTAACAATTAAACCTCTTAAGTATAACACGTAGAAAATCTTAGAAAAAACAATAATTTAAACAATGAAATGCTTTTTTTGGTCGTTAATTCGGGAATTAATGTTGCAGCTGTTGCAGAAAAAAATGCATAACCGTGTAAGCAGGTTATGTAATTTTTTTTCTGCAATAGCTGCCATATAAATTCCCATTCTAACAAAGAAAGAAAGACATTTTATTGCTTTTATCTATATCTGTACAAGTAATCATTTAAAGTAGGATTTATTAGATGAAATATTGTATTATTGGTATGTACGTCATTGTACATTTTATTGATGAAACAGCCACTACTCAAGAAATCTGTACAGGTGATATGCTTAGTGTCATTACTGACTGATAAATGGCAAAAGTTTTCTTAAGAAATAAAGAAAATAATCTTCAGTGGATGTAATTATAAAAAAAAAAAAAAATAAACAGCTAAATTCATAGAACGAACTGTTTATTACACCGACTTCAAAATTCTTTAAACATATTGATTGCAATGATATTTGAAGGTAAATTTTGTTGATCAGGACAAAACAGACAATCACTACAGTTAAAAAAAAAGCATACGTCTGAATGAACGTATTAAAGTAAACAGAGGATATTCAATGTTTTGTAGTTGGATATGGAATTTATTTCACTCGTGAGACAGTTTTTTTTTTTTACTCGTGTGAAATAAATTCCATATCCAACTACAAAACGTTAAATTTTCTGTTTATTACATTGTCTTCGATTTTCCCTTTGCCCCTGTCTTTTCTTAATACAATGTCATAGGCTGTGACGTCATAGCTTAGCAATTTTGAGATTGAAAACATTGTAATATGGATTTTAGCAACATATCTGGGAAGAAATTGGCAGTTTCAGTCTCTGTCAACTTGGTTTAGTTACATGTACTATCTCAATCTTGTTACAGGCCAGAAATTATATTTTACTTACTTGATATCATTTCACATTGTGGCAGGATACCACTTTGGTATCTTTTTCACACTGTGAGAGAATATCTCTTTTATTCAATGAATAATCTACAGTACATATATTTCACTGCTGAAAATGTAATAAATGCTTATATCAAATCTCTCAAATGCATAAAGAAATTTTGCACATGCTCATCACACCTTTTTATTTGCTATATTGATGTCACGTTGTGTATAATTGGCGTAGTCCTTCTGTGACATCAGCTGAAGACAGAACTGCCCTGACGTCATTTGATCACCTTGTCCCGGCCAATACTGCTCACACTTTATCTATTCAATTAAAACATTTAATAAATCAACCAGGTTATGTGTGAATAATTTATTTAAAACAGTAATAATAGAAATACATCTTATATACATGCACCTACATTATAATGTGATTCTCATTTAGTCAATGATTTCCGACAAACTGGAATATGAAATTTTTGTTAACGTGCAGTTATTAATTCCAGTATAATAAAGACTTAGATTTTCTTTCGCACAAATACAGAGAAATACACACTTCAGAGGAATACAAGAGCTGATTTTGTGAAACATGAATCGTTACATTTCTTTAATTCTCTTTAATTTTCTTTAATGGTAGCCCGCATGGCGCAGTGGTTAGAGCGTCTGCTCTAGAGTCGCAAAGTAACGAGTTGATCCTTACGTCGCCGTTTCGAATCCCACTGTGGGACGTGGAGACCGGTCCTTTGATAAGACCGTATAAACCGAGGTCCCGTGTCGCAGTAGGTGTTGGCACGAAAAAGATCCCTCACTGCTCAATGGCCGTAAGTGCCGAGTATAGTACAAAATTTGCAGCTCTCCATCGGCAAGTGGTGGCGTCTCCATATGAGTGAAAAATACTCGAGAGGGACGTTAAACAACATACAAACAAGCAAAATAATTCTCTGATGTCTTTGTCTCTTTTGGCCACACATCTGTGTATCGAGAACCCTTTCACTACACTTTTTTCAAAGTGAGAGATATCCTATGTGCAAATTAAAATGCAGTTTGCAAAGGGTGAAAAGATCTAGCCTTATATTACCCGAGCATTCAATTGCAAAATGATATTCAAATTATTTAACACGTTTATGAAGAGCAAACTAGTATTTAAACTTCTGGTTACAGGACTAAATGTAATATTTATCTATGTAACCACCTGAATTGACAAAAATAGCTTCCTTTCACTGAATATCAACTCAGATTAATGTTCACTTTATCAAAATAGGTGAATTCAAAGTTTTTCAAAAATTTTGTGAAAGCATTTTCCCTTTTTCCATCCATACATAATAGTTACGTACACAATCTTCGCATCATATGAAAAAGTTAAGAAAAGTCGGCGAAGAAAAAGAGGAAGAAAGAAGTAAAAAAGTTAATATAAACACATAACGTGCTATATTAATGCTTGGAGACATTCGAGCTGTAACCATTATTTCCCGAAGGACCTAGTACATCCTTCAAGGTACACATTATGTATCGAGACAGCGGTTAATTTTTAAAATCATATTTTTTGCGTTTCTCTCCCTTCAACAAATTTAAAGTCTCCGAGGGTTGAAACAGTTGTCGATTAAGATTACATTGCTTCATATATATATTACCGTTGATCCCTCTGTCAACTTAGTAACCATGACGATAACCCGGATATTTTCTTGCCAAATCATGGCCCAGAAGTCTTGTATTGTGTTTTTTCTCGGCCCTAAAAAAGAAAGTGGCATAGAAATCAACACGAGTCTTCTCAATATCCCTTCTGTCTAAATAGTATCGATAACTTTTTCTTTCTGAAGAAAATCGGGTATTTTTTGATATCCCTGTCCGCCTTGCAGCCTTTACATAAGAATTTATAGTCAGCACTTCTCCCGTTACATTTGTAGAGGCTTTTTTTGTATACGACTATCCTGTTTCCTTTAATGTCCCTGTAGATTATAAGACACATGTGTATTTCAATGTTTGGCAACAGAGGTTTAGCAGGTCTTGTAAAATTTCACCTCATTTTTTTAACTCTAACATTTTAGATGGAAAAGTCTTTTTGCTTATCATAGGACATTTCATGTTCATGTGCAATTAGGTTTTGGAATTTTCACCCCAGACCCATGTGTCCCAAGGGATGGGGGGGGGGGGGGAGGTGCAGTTTGTCAAGTATACGTTGGTTTTTCGTAAGAGTTATTTTTACATTTAAAGTTTTAAGAATTAGCTTCTGTTCAGGAACAGTGGTGCAAATGTTCAACAGTTTTCGAATGATGCCATTTTCATATTTTCTTGAAAAGGTCATGAATAAATCGTTTGTTTTCAAGTGTATTCCCAAGTAGTTATATCTTTGATGCATTTAATTAAAAATTTCTAAAAGGAATCCATACTATCAAACCGCATATATCCCTTTTATTACTGTAAACTAAATTATATTATTCTTTTGATGTTTAAAGATACAATCTATTTTTAAAAAGTCCTGTCCATAAAATCAAATATTATTAATGTCATTCCTGATTCTAATATCCCGCATCTTTTTTAGATTTATTTCGTAGGATTACCTTGTGTCGCAATATAACGCCGTTTCCCTTCCACGTCCTACAAAAATTGTTTTATCAACAATCAGTATACACATACATACTACATTATTTTTTTCTTTCGTATATTACGTTATATGTTATATAAGTTAAAGACAAAAACCATCTAGCCAATCAAACTCTATATATTACCTTAATGTAATTTGCATTGATGTAGTCATTATCTGGACAAACATTCAGCACAACACGAGAATGGTCATCTTTTAAAAAAAATATCATACAAGTATTCAAAGATGTAGAATTTATATTAATTTTCTAATACTTTTGTTCTATAATCTTAAACAGATTCTTTTCTGATACGTTAGTGTTTCATTTTTGTCAATTATGATGTTCTCACGAAATCTATAAGAGCAGGAAAAAGTGTGTGAGATTTTCAGTGTATAGAAATAAAATATGTGTGAGAAAAGCATTGTGAGAAATGCAATTCTTATCATATATCTATATGTAAAAAAAAAAAAAGTCGTAAGAGTTCCAAGATTGTATTGTGAAAACATTTAAAACATTTTAGCAGAAACATTTATGAGAAAAAAATGCTCATGCAATGAGTCATTATAAAGAAAGTAACATTCAATTTTATTACACGATTACTTTACAATTAAAAATATAAAATGGCTGATTTAACCGCATAACTTTATTTGGGTCAAACATTGACCTTTAGTCAGTTACCAACTAAACAGTACATGTGATTTGCTTTGATATTAACTTACATGGGAATGTTGTTTTGTATCTATTTTTCGGCATATTTTGCTGTAGTTTAGCCGCAGAGCAGGGAATATGATGTTGCTCTCCATATGGTATTTCCTACAATGATTTCTAAATTACAGTCAAAATTACAGTCAAACATCACAAACAAACACACATGGAGAAATCATGGAATATAGTGGAGTTCAAGCAGAGGATGAAGCTCTGCCATTCAATTGGCTGAAAAGTGAATGAAAGTCTACTAAAAGGAGTCTGGATGGCTGAGCGTTGCCATTAAATGACCTTTCCAGACCCTTCAGCGACCTTTCAGTTGACTGCATTGTACGATTCATCCTACGAAAATATCAAAGCTGAAACTCATATTCATAAATGCGACATATACGTATGTCATACATGTATCATTGTTGAGGAAAACCATATTTAACCATAACAATGAAATAGGTTTTAACTATGATTTTCAATATCACAATCTTCGTAAAAAACAACAATTTTTATTCAAGTTCACAAAAATATACCTTCATATTCAGATGTTTTGATTACTTTTGTATTGAAATGCATAATAAATTGAATAAATGTTATCTGTTATGCTTTGATAAGTGTTTGAAATGAGCTAGGGTTACGGAATAATTCAAGTATAATATTGAATATATTCAAATAAATTCAATATAATATTACATATTCATATATATTTAACGGAAGAAATTTGACCAATTAAATTTTAATTTGGATAAGTTCTTCGAATCGTTATTAAAAAGAAGAAAAACGCATACATTTCTTTTCTTTTCTTTTCTTTTTTACCTTAAATTCCTCAGTAAATTTCTTATTTTCTTCTAGAGAAAACACTTTTATTATTTTTCCAAGATCGGCAATTTTGATGAGTGTTTTCTTCTGACCGTTGTCTGTGACAATGTACTCAATGTCAGCATTTTCTTCTACAAGCCCACCGTTCTCAGTTATGTTTGCGTTGCCTTCAGTATTGTTTTCTTGCAAATCTAAAATATTTTTATTTATAAATGTGTTTATTAAAATCAAATGTAACGGTAAGTCAATAAATGATATATATATTCTTTATCCTTCATCAGAATGAGTTCAACAAACATTTCTTTTTTTCATATTTACTATATATACAAAACTTGTTTCCCGATTCCTGTTTTGTTTTTGTCAAAGACCATAATTATGCAATTTATGCTATATGATATACCTGTGCGTTTAAACATCATCAAAATTTAGTGCATCCGTTAATAATAACAAGAAGAGATATCTTTGTAAATAAAGAGGAATAGTTATGAAAAAGCAACTCATATTACATGTAACTTATGTATAGCGCACCTTTGTTTAAAATTTCTTTCTTCTCCGGTAGCTCTATGTCACCTGCTTTTTTCTGTCTTGCTTTCCTAGAATATATTTATAAATTCTGCAAACGGAAATAAATAACTGCGACTCCGATGAGTTAATAAAAATACAGAAAAACGTTACTGTCTAAAGTAACTTAAGAATTATAGAACGTGTACTTTACTTACCTGGCGAGAACAAACACGAAAACAATGACTGCTATGACGACAATTGTCATAAACGCTCCACCCACTCCTACAGCTGTGAATATCGGAACGGGGTCCTGAGCTTCTGCAACTGAAGTACTCCTTTACATTAATGTCAAAATTACACGTAAATTACACATTTTTATGCGCGCTCGAATATAGGACATAGAGACAGGTCCCTCGGATAATACCGTCTCAATCGAGGTCCAGTGTCGCAGCAGGTGCAAGTACGAAAAAAAAACTCACTGCTCAGTTATCTTAAGTGTTAAGTACAGTATTTCACCGGCTATTGTTGGCGTTAAAATAGGATTAAAACAGGTTCAAAGGGATGTTAAACAAAATAACAAACAGATATTTTGAATTCGTTCTGAAAAGATATGTACATATTGCCTGAGTCAAAGCCTTTTTTAGTGTATTGCTATATGATACAGTTTTATATAATGTATGTTTCGGAGGGATCAATATCCGGAATGTGACGTCATAATTCATTTTGCTTTACTTATTTTACAGCTATAATCAAATCATACGGAAAGTTATTCATTTTAATGACAATTAATTTGGAATCCTATCAAAAGTAATAATTTTAAAGAAAAGATGAGGAACATATAAATAACAATTTCCAAAGAGACTAATTGCAATTTGGAAACATATTCTTTGGTAGCCCCCACCCATTATATTTGTAGCTGATTTTCTTCATTTTTCATGGATAATGACAGTTTCAATTATATTTTCTACTGTGTGTACCTAAATATTATGTTCCAATACACCTCATTTACCAGATATGAATAGAGGAATTTATTTTCCAAATCAAAAAAAGAAAAAAATAAATAAATTAAAGGCAACTTTAAATTACTAAACCTTGACCTTAAGCGCATCCCAATGTAGACATTTACATGCTAGACAAGCGCAATAGTAAGCGTGCGTGTGCAAAATAGCAATATAGCAATTAAGAATTTGTACTTTGTAGTTTTTCTAGATCTGTAACCTTACATTTCTGTATCAAGTGTTACAGTATATTCCTGTATCGTCTTTTTTTTTGTTCAAAGTTTTATTACAATTTTATTCAATTTTTTTTCATCAGAGTAAGACTTTGCTTAAAAGTATAAACAAATGAAATATCCCGTAGGAAAAGATAGCAATTTATTTTATGCTGTTTTAATGTGCTTTACCAGTTATATTGCAATAGTCTCCGATGTATCCATATTGACACTGATCACAAGTCCCGTTTTTCTTGTTGCAGACAGCAGAACAACCTTCACCACACGTAAAATTGCAGCGGAGTCCAAATGTTCCGTTGTCACATTCTGTATAAAAACACCAACTATTTTATTTGATGATATTTTTGTTTCAAAATGAAAAGTGTACGCAGCATTTCAATTTTTCCATGGAATTAAATTAAAAAAAAAGATAAGTAGAACGAAGGTGGATTCGTAGAAGGTATGAAAGCCTATTTTGGGAAATTATCCTTAGAAAAAATGAAAAGGATTGAAATAAGTTAATACCAGTGTAACATTTGTCTCCCTGGTATCCAGATTCACATAACCCGTGACAGGATCCGTTGATGTGATGACAGGTCACAACACCTCTACAGTGGCCACACTTTTCCTTGCAGTCTTTGCCATAAAACCCCATATCACATTCTGCAACGACATTGATCAGTTACAAGTGTTTTCACCCAAATCATGCTTAGTTATTTATTCTCCTTTGTTCAGGGAGCATTTATAACTCTTACTTTTAGCTCCTTTGTTCTATTGTCATTCAAATCATTTCAATATTTAAATCAAAGTATACTATTGCACCACTACTACTCCTTCTTCCTCCCGCAAGGCACAATCCTTCCTTTATTAAAGACATTGGACTTCACAAAAGACCTTGTTGTGATTCTATTTCTACTACATTGTTTTGTTTTAAGTAATTTTGTGCACTCGATTTCTAAAATAGTATTCAACGGATTTCTATGAAAACTTTAGGAATAATGAACAATTGCATGAATTTTTTATGTTTGAAAACATTTGAAAATTCACTTCCAGTTCTAAGATATAGACACTTTTCTTTTTTTTTTTAAAAAAGAAATTGTGTTCGCGCAACTTTTCTACTATGGCCGAAGGTATGAATTGGAAGAATGTCAGACATCATGAGAGATAACTTGTAGATGTGCCTTTAACATTTTATTCTCAATGTTAATTCTGATATCTTCAATAAACATCATTCATCACCAAATCGTTTCCTTAGATTTTAAAACTGAGCTGACTACTAAACTCTCTTTATGTTCCAAACCAAGTCGGCATAAGCACACTAAAACAATGAATACAATATTTTATGTTTACAAGAGATATCATAAATTAAATGACAAGCAATGTTCTTAATATTAAGTTAACCCAAAAAGTTTTTTTAATAATTTTGATATCGAACTCAAAGGTGTTATATATGCAATCAATATTGACTAATCATCGATTTTCAGGTTGAAATCATGAGATCCGCAATTCACATTGTTTACACAAGTAGTAATTATTGCATTTACGTTGAATTAAATTGATAGGTATTTAAAGTTGCCTGCTGCGACAGTTACCTTCCAGACTAGTTGATAAAAAAAACGTACAACGTTAACCATAATTGGTTTACGGACATGATGGGACAGTATTCAGTGAAAATTATACGTATCCACACTCAAAACCTTTCAAACTACACAATGTCATAATCTTAAACACAATTTAAAGCTAGTACGCCATTTAGTTAATTATTTGTACAATGTACATTAATTTGTTTCAATACTAGAGATCTTTTGCGATTACTGAAATCTGATACGATTGTTTATTTGCATCAACATAATTCTTTTGACACTTGCGAGATCGAATTATAAGAAGAATTTTAAATTTTATATAAAAGAAATAAAAAACAATATTTATTTTTTATTACAAAAAAGTCCATGTCCAATGAACTTTTGATATGAACTATACATGTGCATGCTGATGAACCTTTCTTATTACATGCGAGAGTGCATCTTACAACTACGCATTAGTATTTCGGTAAGTCAACACACAGGTAAACATCTCGTCAAGGTCACTAAACGTAATTTTTGCCACATTGTTTTTCATAGCAATTCGTACTTGTCGATCAGTCCCAAGTCAATTGACGTTTGAAAATCACCGTCAGAATTAATGAAGATATTTTTATTGATACATAACGTTTCATTGTAAAAGTCAACCGTCCGGATGCGGAACATGAATTTCCAGAATATTGAGACAAAAATCAGTTCCGTCAAAAACTCGTCCGGAACTTCAATCGTCCGGATTATCGCGTCAGGAAAAACGACGCTCCTCTCTATACGTTGTTTAATTTTTTAGGTGATGTCTGGTTTCTTTTTATAAGTTTGTATTGAGCGTTAATTTCAGATTTCGCATAAATAATTAGATTTGTCTCTCAGAAGCGATATGTTTGTTTCAGATCCGTTAAACACTACATTTTTTTTATTTATGTACGTCGGATGTATCGACTTACAGTAACTACGCTACGGCAATGTTTATCATGTTACATGTATGAGTGCAGAATAAACCTCATTGGTGAGGAAGAATGGGCAGACGGGCGTCCTATTACCATACGAACAGGATTCTAGTTGTTATTTTCATTATTCACTCCTAAAAATGTCTAAACAATTCAAACCTCTCTTGCATTTTTCTCCCTGGTATCCAGGTTTACATAACCCGAAACAGGATCCGTTGATGTGATGACATGTTTGGGATCCACCACAGTGACCACAGTTTTCCTGGCAGTCTTTGCCATAAAACTCCACATCACATTCTGCAACGACATTGATCAGTTACAAGTGTTTTCACCCAAATCATGCATAGTTATTTATACCCCTTCGTTCAGGGAGCATTTATAACTCTTACTTTTAGCTCCTTTGTTCTATTGTCATTCAAATCATTTCAATATTTAAATCAAAGTATACTATTGCACCACTACTACTCCTTCTTCCTCCCGCAAGGCACAATCCTTCCTTTATTAAAGACATTGGACTTCACAAAAGACCTTGTTGTGATTCTATTTCTACTACATTGTTTTGTTTTAAGTAATTTTGTGCACTCGATTTCTAAAATAGTATTCAACGGATTTCTATGAAAACTTTAGGAATAATGCACAATGGCATGATCTTTCTTATGTTTGAGAACATTTGAAAATTCACTTCCAGTTCTAAGATATAGACACTTTTCTTTTTCTTTTTAAATGAAATTATGTTCGCGCAACTTCTCTATTATGGCTAAAGGTATGAGTTGGAAACAAGTCAGACATCATGAGAGATAACTTGTAGATGTGCCTTTGACATTTTATTCTCAATATTAATTCTGATATCTTCAATAAACATCATTCATCACCAAATTGTTTCCTTAGATTTTAATACTGAGCTGACTCTACAACTCTCTTATGTTCCAAAACAAGTCGGCATTAGCATAAAGTATTGCCATAAAACGAAGTACTACATTCTGCAACGAAAATGTTCAGATATTGTACCTGGTATATATTTTAATGCATATATATTACAGAATGTATTCATTTTCAGCAGTTTAATACTGAAATTTATCCATTGTATGATTAAGATACTGTAAAAATAATTATTTTCGAGGGGTCAGATGTTTGTTGTTTAAAGAAAAAATACTGATTCGGGGGATTTAATTTCATGTCGTGGTAAAGGGAGAACAATTATACTGTAGTACGAAAATACAGCATTTCGTGGGGATATGAAGTCGGGGTCCCTTCAATTAGTAATTTCACAGTATCCGAAAGTGATAAATTTTCAAATTGTAGAATATTAAAAGTGATATTTTTCACTTTATAAAAATATAATAAGTGCGGCAAAACACTCAATTTCCCTAGCCTCAGCAAAGAGAATCACTAAGAAATATTTACATTTCCAAATATTTTCTCAGTGATAACTCCCGTTGGGTGTGTTGATTTCTCGATACTTATCACTGAATGTAAATTTAACAATTAAAAAAAAGTCAAGTGCCTAATATGCATATCTATCTTTGTGTCTGACGTCAGTGTACGGGATTATTGAAATTAACATGGAATGCCTCGTGTATTTTAAATCTATACCACAACATTTTAAAAAAAAATGATATCTCAACTTCTATTTCACATAAATGTAAATATAAGGAATCAATGTTTATTTGTTTGGTAAACATGGGATAATTTATGCATGACGGACTTCACTCGTTATGCAAATTATTCCACGTTTCCAACTGTCTTTGATGTTCCTACATGCCCAACAATCTAGACAGTGATTCTTTGAATATTCTTTGTTGTAACATATCGAGAGTAAACAAACCAACATCTTGACACAGATTAAAACAGATAAGTTTCCCAATTTTTTTTTTCAAATCCATGTTTACAATATTTAATACCACAACCATGCCGTCATTGTCTACAATCAAGATAGTTTTATTTTATACCAAATTAGTAAATTATTACTTTAGGACAAAAATTTCTGTTTTGTTTGCTGTTTTATAGTTTAAACAATTTACTATTTAATTATACAAACAGTAAGATGAATTAATAATAAAAGTTGATACAAATAAATTATTATTATGCACCCCTTTTCAAACCATCAAATTTAGAACAACATACTTTTAGGACGCTTAAAAATCAAGCATTCCATATCATAAAATTATGCAATTATGAGTGAAAAATTCTCGAAAGGAAGTTAAACAAACACAAAACTAAGAAGTAGGATGTAATGTAAAGGGATCAACCTTCCATGAATCTAACAATAATACTGCGTTACAAAAGGAATAGGAAAAAGGCAAATCAAGTACAGTGGCTGCAACGTTATTGTTGACAACTTACACGAACGATCACGTTACACGAACGATTCCGCACGATTAACACACGATTAAACCTGTTACACGAACGATCCTTCACGCAAACGATTCTTCACGATTGCTAACGCAAACGCACGATTCTTCACGCAAAATGGTTTAAGATATTTAGGAGTGGATATTTTCAAAACGAAATAAGGCTCAATAGTCATTTTAGATTACAAATAATTAGGGATGTCAGATCGGTCAATTTTTGATAATCGGTTACTCGGACGTTTTTCCGATCGAGTACCCGGGTACTCGGTAAAAATGTAAAATTTGTTTATACAAGTGTGTTAATTTTCTTGAGCCACGTTCAGCTCGGTCAAACCCCAAAGCTGTTTTTATCACGTTTATAAAAGTATATAAATATAGATTCCAACGGAAATGACTTTGTGGTACTAAATTTATTTATCAAATGAACACAAAAGACACAATTAATACATCAAAAATTACAATTGGTTTACAGTTCTTGTTTAGGATCTATTTGATCAACGCAAAAGGAGGACAATCTGTTACGCAGGTTTGTGATGATTAAACTAGGGAAAGAGAAGGAAGAACGTTGTTGGGATCGCTAGTCTAATATTTTTTTCCATATGATGGTCGTATCCACGGTATACACTAAACCTGCTACGCATACTGATTTTCAACATTTTTTTTTTTCAATCTTTCGTTATTTCTAAATATTTCTTCACTTTTAAAGTGGATAGCGGAATTTCTATGCATGTCCATTTTCGCTGCCGTATATAAACTAAATAATTTAAAAATGAAGATAATAGACCATACTTAAACGATTTACAATGAAAACAATCATTAAAGCCATTCAAAAATTAAGGACAACAATAGGTGAGAACAGCTGTGTACCAGGTGATTGGTCACTAATAATTGTATAAACACTGCCACAGGCGATAACGGGTGTTTACAGGTGTAGATGACGACACGTTAATTTACCGTGTGCATAATTAAGTTATTTTTTGATAAAAATATTTACTTTGAAATAAGAAATATATATACTTTGAAATAAGAAAAATATACATCCGAGTAACCGAGTACCATTTTTAGTATTCGATACTCGGACGTTCGATCGAGTACCCGGTTAATCGGGTACTCGTTGACATCCCTACAAATAATCATTGATATAATTCATCGACTTTGGAGAACTGAAAAAAAGGATATTTTTTAAAACTAGATAGGACTTACAATATACCACTTATTTTAGAACACAAATATTTATTTACGTAATTCTCCGACTTAGGAAAATTGATTTTTTTTTTTCTTTTCGGTCGACACGTTAAGATCGATTGTTGATATAGGTGGGCGTGAGTTTTGAATTTTACGATATGCAGTAAGGGGGATAATATAAGAATGGCATAAAAATGAATCAAAACTGTATCCATCTTTCCATTTGTGAATCTCTAAAATCAACAATTATTTAACAAATCATTCCTTTGCAGAAATTATAAAAATAAACTAAGTTTCTGAGATAAACACTGATAAATTAACCCCGGCAATTATGTCGTGTACATTCGCCGACTAAATAATTATGTAAGCATTTGGAATTATTTATTATTATTTGTAAAAATATACTTTCTTGATGTATTGATGAAAAAAATATCTTAACCACGATTAGCTGTAAACATAATTAACATCAGAAAAAAAAGCCACGCTATTTGCAGAGAATACAATATTGAACAACTTACTATATCGCTTATTTACTAGCGATAATTAGTTCGCTCAGTTATGTAAATCGCGCTTCATTTATTTTATTTGGATTTCAAAAAAAAAAAAAAAAAAAAAAAAAAAAAAAGACAAGGGAAATGTTTTTTAACAAATAACATTCCGATAAAAACTTGCAAAACGAAATTTGCACGTTTCTTACCGCAAGATCACGCACAATTAAAACCGCAAACGATTGAGCCTGATACACACACGACCAATCACGCACGTTTCATTAACGATTCTACACGATTGGTTTATCAACAATAACGTTGCAGCCACTGTATGCAAAATAAATATATGATTAACAGAAAATCTAATGTTTTGGACTTCGATATGACATTCATTTCACTATCGAAAAAGAATTCTTTGATATTTCAATTCGCGCTTCGCATGATATAAACGAAACAAAAATTATGTACCATTCGTGGAATTAATTTCATATTGAAGTACGAATTAATAATTATCCTTTTCATGCATCTTTTGGATAATCATTGTCAAACAAGGTGAAAATATACTCTGAATACATTACAATTTTAGAGAGGTGAAAGGAGGACAAATTTAACCTTTCATTAAGCTGATGCAAAGCAAAAAACATGTATTTCTTAAGCATAACAAAGTTAATTAAATCTTGCGTAAATTGAAATTTCAGATACATGTATTCATTGTATTCTTTTCTTCAAAATTCTTTACTGATTTTGGACAAGTTTTTTAAAAAATCCTTTTGCTTTTTTAATCAATAGTTTATTTTATCATAAGCTGCTGCTAAACATGCTTTCACGAGTACAAAATAACTATCCTTCTTATATCAATAATCCTTTTTTCTCACATTTGAAGATGGAAAAGAATAACTTTAAAATAGTATTTGCAATCTGTTATAGCAACAATTAAGTTTTAGAAAAGTTAAAGACATACCAATTCGCAAAATAAAAAAAAGATTATGTCACAATGTTACACTTCAGAATTTGCTTATAATAAATTACAGAGGAAAAACAGAACAAGAAACGCAAATAGGTGTGTTTTCAAATTCTTATTAAGGTCTTCCGTTCCAACGGAAGACCTTCTACTGATTCTGATGGTTAAGATTATTATTCTTTTTTTTTTTCTTCTTTTTCCTAGACGCCAACTTTGAGACCTCATATCTCGCTCATTTCTCAACGGATTTTGCTCAAATTTGCAGAGTTTATAGACGTTACAAAACTCTATCAGAATGCTGTCAAACGGTTC